AGCGGGTTGAGGCGGCAATGATCCACAAACCATCGATATGTATTAAACATAGGATTGTTAAATCTCTTGTCTTGCTAGATAGTAAATGGTACCTTGTGCTAAATTAAAAGACAGCTTTGGTCATCCTTGAAGAACAACATCTGTATATTTCTACATTATTTTAAGAAGCCCCTAATGCAAGAATTTAGTAGCCTTCTTACTCTTGGCTTTGTGACACAGCTATTAATGAAAAAAGAGATGGTATAGCTTTTATTTGTCTGATTAGTTGGTAACCAGATCCTGTGTTTAACACACTACTCAGTCATACAAGGATTAGTACTGTATTTGTATGTTTGATACAACTATGTACAGTATGTACTTTGTACCCAGCCCATCATATCCTGTACTTTGTACTCAGTCTATTACATGCTGCACTTCATACTTAACTGATCACATCATTGTCTCTTTACTCATCGTGATCTTGCACACTTAACAAGTTCAGTAGCACCAGGTCTTGTTGCTAAATTTGGTTGTTCTTATTTTCATTGAAAATTGTGTATTGATTAAAAATGATTATAGTTGGTTCTTGCCAGCCTTTCCTTCACATTTTTTGGTCAGTGCATTTCTCGTAGTACATTCAAAGGGAAAGTAAGGTAATGAATTACTTCTTTATCGTAGAAACTACGTTCCATCTAGAGTCCTTAACCCTTTGAGGGTTGTCTGTAGATCTACAGCTTGAAGCCAGGGGCCGAACCATAAATCTATGCCATGAGCTCAGCTCGCTCAGATAAAATGCAAGCAGTAAAAATTTGGACCTAGATATGAGAGGGCATCTTGTGTTAAGTGTGCACCAATAAAACAAATCCTGCAGGGAAGCAGTGCATAATGAGAGAAAAAAACTGCGACCATAATTTTGGATTAAAACAGCGACTTTGTGGTGTTTTTTGTTTTGTTTCTAACCGTTGTTTTTCACAATTTCTTGGTCTTCTTTGATAGAATTGGAAGATATGTTACCAGAAATAGAGATGATTTTGATTGGTTTTTAGTACTGAAAATGGCTTGAAACTGAGCTCAAAGTTAGTGGGAATTTTTAAATTTTTGCCAATGTTCAAGAGTAAAACAAATGTCGTCACAAGTGTAATACGATCTGTTGGTGGGTCTAATATACGTTCATAAATGTGCTGATATTTTTTATACAATTATTACAACATTGCATAACAGTAAAATCTATTTTTTGGTGTGAATGAAAATAATGTGAATAAAAAATCAAAATGGAATTCATTTGTAAAGCCCGAAAAACATAATAATTAAACAGGGGGAAATGTTAGTTTTTGTGCCAGGAATGCCTGCTTTGTTTTATTCAGGACCTATTTTGAAATTGGGAAAATTTTTAACTTTGTGTTAAAATTTGGGCCCAAATTACCCAATTTCCGATCACTTTATTGGGTAGTTGAAACAGTTGACTGGGCGGTTCTTGTGCTCAATCGATAAAATAAAAGTTAATTTCTAGCGAAATAGCTAAGAATTTGGTTTGACTGGAATGATGTAATTGGCCTAAAAAAGGGAGTTAAAGTTAGCAAAATTGCTGATGCACCAAATTCACGAGAGCATAATTTTTGTCAGTTTTCCATCAAATTTTGTACTTTTTGCTTTTATTACCTTCAGAAAAGATTCTCTACCTTTTTATAAGAAACAATAACAAAAAAATTTTTTTTGAAAATTCTTGGAAACCCGGTGTCACACTGAAATTTTGCCTCTGGACCCTCAAGGGGTTAAAAATGTAGCTCTTAGCTTTTCCTACATATCCCCAGAATTAAATTTTTCCTCATTCAATTTTCACCAGGTATAAATGGGCAAGAGGGTGATGGAGATGTGTTTAAGCCCAAGCAACATTACAAACTTTGTTAAGTTTGTACGAACGACGACTAAAGGAAAAGGTTGTTCATTCATGTGGCAGATGGAGGGTTTAGTGTTGAGGGCCAAGAGAACATACAAGAAATATTATCAAAAACAGTTGTATCTTTGTCAGTGCATAGTTGCATTAGGAATAGTGGGGAACAGGTATGTTGGTCTTGCTGTATCAACTTTTAAAAAAATTCATTTACATTAAATGCTGAAAATAAGTTATTTAAAAAAAGGGATGAAATTTGAGATGTGATGAACAAAATTGAATTGTTTTCTGTCAAGTGCATTCTCACTTTATGAACTGAAAGCTGTTTTGTCCTTGTGGCTTAGGCTTCTTTTTTATTTTTTAATAATATATGAACTGAAAAACATTGTGATGATGATGATTTCTTACAAGGAGTATTGCACGAGTCATGTAGTTGTATTGTCACCACACCAATATGAAATCAAATGCATTTGTAGTTAAAGTATGTTTTTTAAATATCCTTCTATATCCCTTAAAAGTTCTTGCAAAAAAATAAGAAACCTGTTTTACCATATATTTAACATTTCAGTGAGGTTGTAAGTGGATTGTAACATTCTGGAAATTTTAGATTTTAATGCATTCGCATTTATTGGTAGTGCATTAATATACTAAGTACCTTGAGTACTGTTAAGCTTTTTTTGAAATTTGATGCTAAATATTCCACAAAGAGTCTTACATACTGTAGGTATAATTAAAATATTTGATGATTATATTTATAGTTATTTCTTATAACATGTATACTTGCTTATTCAAAGTTGATTTAGATGGCCATTTTTGTGTGCAACTTTTGATGTGTTCACAACATTGTGTTGGCCTAGTGTACCTGAAGTATCGCTGTTTTAAATATGTTTGTCTCCATAAGCCCAACACAAGCGACCTGCAATCAGAAAGGGGAAGCTTTCTACTTGGTTAAAGACATGAAAATCTCTTTTGTGGGTTCTAAAAACGGGCGAATAAAAAAAAAGAAAAAAAAAACACTTTTTAACCCTCCCTTAACCTTTCCCATGATGACACTACCTCCCTTCCTAAAACTCAGATTCATACTCCACCTAGTCATCCTATTTTTCTCTATCCCTTTTAAATATTCAGACCTGCTCAACAGATTTCTAGGCCTTTGAATAATTATTTTAGTTGATTGTACCTCCCCCTATCTCCCAAACTTGAATTCCTGCTAATATTCCAACACATATTGCTTCAAAAAAAGACATCTTGCCACCTCTACCTTCTCCTTGCTGCAATATTCAAGTTTGCTTCATGCCCAATTACATTGTTGGTTACCACGTTCTCTTTGGTGCATTCCCTTTTTTGCCTAGAGATAATGGTCTTTGTCTTTTCAGATGCTTAAAGGGATATCATTTTTACCCTACAGTCCATGGTTCACCTCATTTCTCATAGAAAATATCTGTCAAAAAGTCTACTCCAAAATATCTGACAACAAGGTCTACTCCCAAATATCTGGGAAAACATTTACTTCCCCTTTCATGACCTACTTTTTCTGTGACCCCCTTTTGACCCTTTTTCCCAAACCCTTGGAAAGAGCGGTCTTGAGGGTAACAAAAAAATTTTTGTTAATGAAAGATTAGGGTATCAGATTGGATGGAGTTTTGGAGAAAGTGATTTTGTTCAGATGTTTGGAGAAAATTGTCAGCAGATGGGTCTATGAAAAAATGAGCTGGCACAGAATTGATGGGGAGGGGGGTAAGGTGAGTGGGGCCTGAGGTATCTGGGGAGATGAAGAATGTTATCCATGGAAGCAAAAAAAAATATATAAGAGGTAGTTTGGTACAACATCTTTATGGGTTTTGGAGATGGGTTGCGAATGTTTTTAGCAAGGAGGAGGTTGGAGGCAGTGGAGATGTTGTGTTGAGGACAATGTGTGGTGTGAATATTTGCGAGAATACGTAGTTTGGAGATTAGGAGGTGGGGGGGCTACTAAAATTATTTTCCAGGGTGGGGGAGGAGGCAAAAGGAGGCTTTGCATGCAATGGGCTTAGACATCCAGCAAGTGTATGTGAGCATGTTAAATAGGGAGTGAGTAAAGGCAGATGGTTTTTTATGAGCTGATGTGCTGTTGGAGTGTAAGCAAGGTAACATTTATGAAGGGAATTAGAAAACTGGTTAGCCAGACTTGATTTCTGGAGGTGGGAAGTACAGCGCTTGCACTCTGAAGGAGGGGTGGGGATGTTTGCAGTTTTGGACTGTAGTATCAGCACCCCTCTGGCGAAACAAGTGATGGAGTGAGTGACGGTGAAAATGTTTCTTCTTTTATGGGTCACTGTACCATGGTGGAAGGTGGCCAGTTTGTTGAAAGAAAAAATTTACTTCTTCCATACTCCCTCTCTCCAGTCTAATATTCAGGCCCTTATCACCTTGCTCTTTTCTGTGTTTACTTTTAATTTCCATTATTTACATATCCTCCCAAATTCATTTACCAACCTTTGTAACTTCTCTTCTGAATCTCCCAAAAGAACCATGTCATTGACTGTCAAAAAGCAACAGTGCACTCCCACTCAATCCCAAACCTCTCCCTAACACCCTAGCCATTCACTTGTTTTACAACCCCGTCTATAGATTATGTTAACCGTGGTGCCATTACACATCCCTGTCTAAGGCCTACTTTTACTGGAAAATAAATCCCTCTCTCCTACATACCTTAACTGTGCCTCACTATCCACATAAAAGCTCTTGACTGTTTTAAAGGAACCAGCCACCTATTCCATACATTTGCAACATCTGTCACACTTGAAAGGAAGCTGTATATTTTTGTCTACCATTGGGGCCCTCTTCACCAGTTATAGGTCTTTAGTTAGAAGCCAAAATTTTACAGCTCCCACATCACCTGTGGTTTATCTGTCACCCTTTTGAAATTTTGTGTTATATTGATCAGTGCTGTTTGATCCCTAAGGGTTTAGCACTTCCCATTAATAGTTTTCATCATACATTGCATAAATTGGGGGGAGGGGAGCTCATTTTTTAAAATTTTTTAAAGTCCTCTAAAGTGCTTTTTTCGAATTTTTAACTTTAACCTTGAGCTTCTGATGGTTTTGGAACAAAAGGAATTAATTTTTTTTTTTCAGGTATATTATTTGCAAATGGAAACGGGATGACGTAGAGACAATGTCTATAGATATCTGTTTGAAATGAATGAGCGACTCATAGGATTGAGTTCATCCATGGATGTGACAGAATTGGTACCTCTTGAGCACCTCAGAGCTGAGAAAGAATTCTTTGATTACATTTGCACATCAAATGATGAGTAAGTAGCTCTCACTCAATATAATAGTTCCAATTATATTTTCTATTTTTTTTCTTAGATCTCAAGAATCTTGTAGTAGAGGTGGCATTCCTCATTAATTCTAATTGTATGTATGTATCTTCACACCAACTCCAACTTTAGAGATTCATCCTCTTTCCTGCTGGCCCTGCAACTTAAATCAGTGTCCCCATACTGCATAGAGCCAACATTGACAATAGCAGCTGTCTCTTCTAAAACTACCAGATATAATTAGGGCCCAGCTCTTGCTGCCTTAAACCCAGTACAGTTGGTATCTACACATTATCTGTAAATAATGCAAAGTCCATGTTGGTGAAACTTCTCATGACCTCCTAAAATAGAATGAGAACAGATATGCCTGTAGGGTACATCAAGTAATCTTAATATATTCCTCTATTAACCACAGAGACAAATCCAACCATCTCATGGACTGAGTCTCATCACACCCAAAAAAAAAAAAACATATAGGAGGAAGTGTATTTGTATTCCTCTTGGGTGTCATGGTTTCTATCCAGACGTGAGATGGGCAGTGAAAAGACTAAAAGTCTATTCACTAACACACGAGTAATAATATAATACATGTTTATTTCTACAAGTACATGTACAAAGTATACAGGCCTTGGTGAGGTCAGTGACATACTACACAGAAAGCTGCTTGCTATACAGAGCATTTCGGGCAAATTAAGTCAATTTTGTCCCAGGATGCAACCCACACCAGTTGACTAACACCCAGGTACCCATTATTACTGATGGGTGAACATAGACAACCAGTGTAAGGAAACATGCCTATGTTTCTACTCTAGCCAGGAATCGAACTTGGACCCTCACTCTGTGAAGCAAGAGCTTTTGCCACCAGGCCACAGGCCACATAAGGCATGGGGTGCTTATGCACTGAGAACTAGTGGTGTGGGAAGTTTGAGGACATTTTATATCTGCAGCCTCAGTGTTAAATCACAATTATATTTACAGTACTCGCTTCAGTGGTTTGTTGCCCCATGTGGGTTTATTTATCCCAAAAGAGTTAAGTATATAGACCATTAAAGGAAATATGTCATTTGTATTAATATTAACAATCAGTCCTTTGTTATAATTGTAGAACTTGAAGCTGGCATTAATGGTAAACACTCATTCTCAGTTGCTTTTCCTGAAACACTGCTAAGACTTTTTTTTTTTAACACACTGGCCGTTTCCCACCGAGGCAAGGTGACCCAAAAAGAAAGAAAAATACTTTCATTATCATTCAACACTTTCACCATCACTCATACATAATCACTGTGAAAAGAATTTTGGAGGTTGCTGCTACAACCTGGCCAGTATGCCTCTAAGACAAAATATTTTGATAAAATTATGAAGTTGCATTATGTCTTCAGTTTTGATAGGACTCCACATGATTGACTACTTAAAGGCATACACACACACAACCAGAATGTCTTCTGGTTAAAATTTGTTAATGAAATTTTAAAAAAATAACAATAACTCATACTTTTCTACACAAAGAAGACTTATGTAGTAATTTTGGAATGTTGTGTTTATCACTGGTTTTTAGTGGATGCTACAGCTGGCTTCATAAGAAAGTGTTAAGATTATTATTATATGTCAAAGCACTGAACTATCTGCTTGAGCTTCAGGACAAAACTGATTAAACTTTGTCCTTTTAATTAAAGAAATAAAAAATGTAAGATCGTATTTCTTCCTTTGCAGGTTAGGGTTCCGTCAGATGGTGAGCTTGCGAAAAATTCAAATCTTTTGCCAGGATACTCAAATGATTGAAACACGACAATCAGACCTTCGTATCAAGTCTCTTGAGCTCTGGCAGTTGCCAGACAGAACTCGTTATAGCACCACAGCGTTCAGAGGCAAAAGTAAAAGTTTGTTGAACTAATAGATGGAGAAAACTGTGGTGAGTTAGGATTACCATATGAAGCCCTTCATTAATGGGCAATAATTAGTTGTTCAGTGTAATATTACTAAGTGCTGATGAATATATAAACAAAACACCACATAGGGCTGAGAATCTACCACCAATTATTAGCCACGTTGATAGTCATAAGTTAAGGGGAAAACTTTCATCCACAAAAATCTGTTTTTAAAAGTCCTGCCATAAATATGAGGGTATACTTTTAGTCCAATATGCAATTATTGTTCACTTTGAATCTAAATGAATGGTTAGCTTTTCCATTTTAAAGTTTCGTTTAACCCTTTCACTGTCTGTCACGTAGGTCTATGTTACTGGGGCCAGGGTCCCCCATGCAGATCTATATCTTAAGCTCAGCTCATTCGGATAAGCTGAGAGCTATAAATTTTTGGCCTTGATGAGAGAATGGATCTGTGTGATGAGTGTGCACAGTAAAAAGAAAAACTGCCCCATGTAGTGCATGATGGGAAAAAACAGAATTCTGACCTTATTTTTGGTTTAAAATAATGGACTTTGAGGTACTTTCTAGGGTGGTTTATTGGTATCATTTGATAGAATGGAAGACATGCTTTTTTATAATGAATGATTTTGGTTGGTTCCAGGACCAGTTAGCTTAAAATCAGCCTCAAAATCATGAAAATATTTGATTTTTGCCAATTTTTCTGATGAGTAAGACCCCCTTTCACCCCCCGTTGGTTTATGGG